CAAGAAAGTAACTTTATTTTATTTTTAAAGTATAACAGAATGTGGGTTTTCTACAGATAAAGAATCCTTTCTGTAAGGAATACCGAAGAGTTGGTATCACAGTCATCAACTCTTGTCTACATGATCATTTATTTAGGTGACTATCAGAGTGCACAGCTGACATTTTGACAAGGGGAGACCTCCTCCTTCTTCACTGCACCCAATCCAGCCACCTGACACCAAGATTAAGAGCATGGAAAAAGAAAAACCATTCAAGGACCCAGATTCAAGGACCCAAATTCAAGGACCCAAATTCAGGCACTCAAATTCAGGCACCCAAATTCAGGCACCCAAATTCAGGCACCCAAAGGGGGAAAGCATTCTTCTTAGCCCCCAAGTTCGCCCTCTCCTTCAGCATGAAAGGCTCCCCCATCCATCAAAGAATGGAGAAATGGGTAAGAGAAAGAATACTAAGGAAAAGAAGAGCAGAGGAAGAAGAATTAAGGTTATCCCACATCTACCCTCAGCAGTGCCATAGCACTCCATTGGCTTTTGATGGTGAAAATTTCCATTTTCACAGCTTTTTCTGAAGCAGGGTTGACAGGAGAAGCTCACGTAGACAGGCCTGAGGGCTCAGCCGCTTCCCAGCCACCTCTCACTACCGAGCTAAAAAGCAAAACTAGCAAAACTCTGGCCACATAACGCTATTAATCAATGGATGCTTCTCAGCAGACACTATGGAGCAAAGGCGGGACTGAAAAAAATCAGTGCAGGGTACTCAGGTGGGGTATGGTTTTGTTTTTGGAAGTAGTAAACTAATACCAACATCGCACGGAAAATACTACAAATACATCGGCAGGGTTAGCTGCAAAGGCAAGAATAAACCGGACAAGAAAACTCAATTTCTATTCTCATTCCACAGCTGGATCCTCATTAACAATTTTAGGGAAATATTCCACTTTTACCTATCCAGTCAGGAATTTAGTGAAAGGCCATGTGTAAAGCCTTTAAAATGAATGAAGGATGATGGGGGAAGATACTGAAGCATGAGTGAAAACTTGTCTGCTGCACTCTAACCCTCAACAAGCTCAATTTCTTAGAGTGTATGATGAGATATGATGAGTCCCTCTCTGAGAGACTTAATGATATGGAACCCCAAAATACGCACCACACGCGTACACATACAGTGCATACGTGTAGGTTCAAGGCACATGAAGGTGAGGCAGAAGAAAGCTCCAGGAAAATGCTGCTCCAGTCATCTGCATGGTTGCTATAGGTGCTCCCCCTAAAAGGTACTCCCAGGAAATCGCATCTAAACATCACCTCTTCTTGCTTTCTACATACAGAGCTATAGGAAATAATCTGAAATTTCAGAGTAAATACATTAAGATTTTACCGCTTGGCAACAAGAAAAAAAATCCCAGTTCTCTCCAAAACAGGATGGAAATTTACCTGGGAGAAGAGTTCCGTGCAGACACCTTGCAGCTTGCTTCAAGCTCTTTGCATTTCATTAATGTCACATAACCCCAACAGAGATTTTCCATGTCCCAGTCAAAAAAAATTGCATAAAATCAGTGCAGTTGCCTTCTGTGCTATCATAGCTTTAGAAGCGAGGAAACTAGAACGTAATCATCCAGGGTGTTCTCCAGCACAGATGGTCAATGCCTATCAAAGCTAGTCAAAATTTACATCGTAATATCTGGACAACATAAAATAAGACACTAATCTAGAGGAAAGAGAGAAAAAGAAATGCCAAGGAAGGAAGTAACGTTCAGTCTGGAAAATAAAACTCCAACTCAAAGCTCCTCTCAGCTGCATCAAACTGGTTAAGCAGAGTTTTTCATGAGAAATACAGGTTTTCTAGTTTTCTCTCTCTTCTAGCCCCTCCTGTTCCACAGGAAACACTCAGCATCTCTGAGGCAGCCTGCCTGGCTATTACTATGTTAATTTGCAACAGAAAACACAAAAAAATAAGACAGAAAAAGAGGTATACGCAGCATCTCCCTTACAAGAGGGAGCAGATTCATTCACTTCACTCAGGAAAGTTCTGAAATGACTCTTCTAACTTCGGGTCACCAGTTCTTACAAAAGAAATATGCACATGCCATGAAATTTGGATGAACACAGCCTCTGCTGAGGAAACAGATATATGGATGCATCTTTCTAAAAAGAAATATTCAAACGATTTTTAGATCTGAAGAATTATTTAGCAAGACAACAACTCACCACTTCATGAATGGATCGGTTGAAGCCATCATCCTCGGTAAGGATCAGCAAGATGATAAGAGCCATGTAAACATGGTGTGAATTCCTTTCTTCGACATGGTACAGAATTTCAAGAATTGGCAAAACCTGTAGGGAAGAAAAACGCGTATATTAATTTAGTCTCTCAAATCGCTCAGACAACAAAGAGAGGAGCCACTAAACCTCCCGTGTATCACCCTGCTCTTAATAATATCACAGTTTCACCCTCTTGAAATAGCCCCCCCTAAACAGTGACGTACAGTGTCCAAACACCTTCCATCTGTTTTATTCTGTCTCCACTAGAGGCTAAACAAATCCTTTCTTGTGGTCAGACATGGAATTTCAATTCCTAATAAATGAATTTCCAGTCATACCAGTTACCATAGGCTCCAAAAGCTTTCGTTCCCCTCTAGACTATGGGAAAATAAAATTGTTAAACAAGATTATCATCAGCTCAAGTAGGAAAAAAAGCATTCTAACCATTTGTGCTAACACAAGCCTGGTCTGAAGGGACTTGCCTCATAAAGTATAGCTGAGCATATCAGAGCTGAGGTGCACAGAGGCATTGTGAGACCTGAAACTCAGATCCCAGTTTGGTGTGTGGAGATAATCCCAAAAAGACTTGAAAGTTAAGACTTGAAAAGGCCTGTTTTTCCAATTCTAGATAATCTGCAGCCAAAGACAGCTGACATTACAATGAGAGTTCAGCCCAAGGTCTTGCAACATTTCCACCAGGATGAACAGCTTCAGCCAAAGTCTTGCAATAATAATGAAAATGAGATTTCACTGCAACAGCAAGCATACCTGAATGCTAGTCTAAAGTTAATCCAGATGCAAACGTTGTCTCTCTACCAACTGAAAATTAGCTTTCCACTGGCTCAGTACAACATGGCTTCCCCAGGCTGCAGAAACAAGCCTAAATCGCGAAATACCCTGGAATAAGGAACTGGAGAAAACTCTCCATTCCAAGATAGCGGATGAGATGCAGAATTTGTTCCAAGCAGCTTCTAGACACCTAAAGACTTGCTGTTTTTCAAAACAGGCTGAGTGTGGCAGGATGAATCATGTGAAACCTATTCTAGTAAGCGCCCAGGACACCGAGTGTTTCACGAGCCTCTGAAGCTACCAGAATGTTCTCTTACAATCAACCAGTCCCAACCCAGCTGGAACGTATTAAAAACACAGACCAAGTTCTACTAAAACCAATGAGATTGATCTAAATGCTGCAGGCCACAAAACCTTTTGACAAGATGATTTGGCCAGGGTCAAGACAATACCACAACAAAAGCAGAGGAGGGGAAAACTAAAAACATATATTTATACATTGCAAGCATCCTTCCTTTACCATTTCAAAAGATCCATCAAAAGGAAGGATCATAGAACCATAGAATGGTTCCCACCCAAACCATTTCACAACCGTATGATCCTTCCTTTGCCATTTCAAAGGAACCTTCAAAAGGAAGGATCACAGAATCATAGAATGGTTTCAACCCAAACCATTACACGACCCTATGATCCTTCCTTTGCCATTTCAAAGGATCCTTCAAAAGGAAGGATCACAGAATCATAGACTGGTTCCCACCCAAACCACTCCACGACCCTATGATCCTTCCTTTGCCATTTCCAAGGATCCTTCACAAACTTCTATTCTCAGTTAAAACTGGAGCTGGTGTCTTTGTGTTTTGTGAATAAAGGTCTTGAGAGTAAAGATCAAGTTTCCCCGGCATATCTACTTCACATAAAGCAAAAAACATTAATCCTTTTCCTTGGATGGGGGAAAAGCAAGACAAACGTCACTGCGTTAGTCGACCCTTTAAACTATTTCCATCTCCAATATTTATACTTTACACAGCTCTGCATCGCGTAAGCTCAAAGTCGTTTCAAAGTTGGAGCGTTACGATAAGCTGCGGGAAGCAATACCAAACTACCAAACAACTGCACTTACAACTTGACTTTGCAGGGAGAAGAACAAAAGCCTTTCTGAAGGTAACCAGGGGAACAGCTTCTGAGGTTTAAAGACATCTCCCTAGTACCCACGTATTCCTTCAGAACGGCCTGACGTATCTCCTCTAATAACAGTAATATTAGGTCAAACTCTAGCTGAAAAACTGCATTCGTGTCCCTTAAGTGCTCCAAGTCCTACAAGTGTATTGCTCCAAACGACATTAGAAAGGGTACCTTGATTGCGACATGGAGACATTACAGACACTTCTGTACGAAATGTGTATGTGAAAGTACTCCTACAAAGATTTCAGAGCAGCTACTGAAATCACTCTGCCTCTGAAGAGTGATTTGGCTCTCCAGATCGCTGATATTTGGACAAGCCACCAATTCAATAAAAAAGTTGGGATATAAGATAAAATAAAAATTTAATTATAGTAAACTTTCTCTAGCATTTTAAGCAGAATGCGTTTCTACACTTTCATGTTACACACATACATTCAAACTTTTATATCTATTTTCTTCTGCACTGGCATTGCCAGCCACGTACTGAGCAGACGATAACCACTTCTTTTTGTATTGCTGGCCCTTTGCTTCAGAATCATTCAACTACCATTACTAGACTACTACTGTCAGTCAGTCCTCCATCAGGAGCAGCTCCTAACCGGCAAGACACAGCCATCATCAAAAAGGTTACTTTTAATCCCCCAAAAAAGCGGCGGGTAAAAACAGACACCGAAAATTGCAGGTGCTATATTCAGCCCAAGGTCAGGAACAGTTTCACCAGCAAAGAGGTTTAAAATAGCTTGACTTCAGTATACAACAAAATACAACACCATGCGAGTAACCTGCTTAAGCCAAATTTATACCACAGGAAAAGACGCTGCTGTACCATCACAGAATCACAGAATGGTCAGGGTTGGAAGGGACCTCTGTGGGTCACCCAGTCCAACCCCCTGCTGAAGCAGGGTCACCCAGAGCAGGCTGAACAGCACCGCGTCCAGGTGGGTCTTGAATATCTCCAGAGAAGGAGACTCCACAACCTCCCAGGTCCCCTCTCAGCCTTCTCTTCTCCAGGCTGAACAAGCCCAGCTCCCTCAGCCTCTCCTCGTAGGAGAGATGCTCCAGTCCCCTCATCATCCTCGTAGCCCTCCGCTGGACTCTCTCCAGTAGCTCCTCATCTTTCTTGAACTGGGGAGCCCAGAACTGGACCCAGCACTGTAGATGGGTCCTCACTAGGGCAGAGTAGAGGGGAAGGAGAACCTCCCTCGACCTGCTGGCCACACTCCTCTTGATGCATCCCAGGATGCCATTGGCCTTCTTGGCAGCCAGGGCACACTGCTGGCTCATGGTCACCCTGTCGTCCCCCAGCACTCCCAGTCCCTCTCCACAGAGCTGCACTCCAGCAGGTCAGCCCCAGCCTGTACTGGTGCCTGGGGTTGTTCCTCCCCAGGTGCAGGACGCTGCACTTGCCCTTGTTGAACTTAGCATTTTCTCAACTGTTCCCACAAAGTGTTTGATGTTGCCGATTTCTGGGATTTTATGATTTAATTTTTTTTGAGGGGGAGGAAAGACAGGTGATAATGTATGAAAACATCCCCCACATTGCAGAGTATCCAAGTACCTGCATCTGGAGGTGTTCTGGACACACACATCCCGTGCTTCTTCTGGAAGTTTTACAACGTATCAGACATCACAATTATAAAACAATGCACACACCTAACCTTTATTTCTCTGAAGTAAATTGTTATGTTTAGCAGCTGTGAAACATGTCATATCACATACTAACAGTCCAGAAAATTAAATGCAACCATTTGGTCACAGAAATAATACAAAAAGACTCAGCCCACACCTAGATTATCTGCAAGGACTACACAGGAGTTTCGTCTTGCATCAGTTCAGGTTCAACCATCTCACCCGAGTTTGCCAACAGTGGTGTCTATCAACTCTGATTTTAGCAATAAATCTGCTAGAACTTGGACCGAGACCAAACCCATTCCATATCTGCCATCAAACAGGCAAGGTACCTAATCACCTGGCACGAGTTCAAATATCAAAATGGAAAGGGTTCTCCATTCCATTACCAATTGCCCTAGACAGCCATTAGCTTATTAAAGGAATGCATTTTAATAAGTAAGATTTGTTAAAGTGGTCTGTGACATTACTAAACGTACTGGGGAGCATAAGCTAATTTATAACCTACAAAAACTGTACCAGGTGTCTGTTACCGCGGCCATTAACCACAATACTACTTAAGCAGCTAAAAAGTCACGATAGTTGCATTTCTAAAAAAATCTGTCAACCGCTCCTCGAGGAGTTTCAGCCTCAGGTCAACCCTGTAGACATCTGGCATATTAGTCAAGTTACAGCTCATTTTGTTAACTCTTATCCCTGTATGCACACAGTAAGGTCATGTAACTGAATATCTAAAAAAGAAAAATAAAATAATGACTAGGACAATGTCTGCTACCAGTTTCATAACAAAATGCCCAGAGGTCAGGAGGTTTGACTTGGATCATAGAATGGTTTGGGTTGGAAGGGACCTGAAAGATCATCTGGTTCCAACCCCCCTGCCATCAGCAGGGACATCTTCCACCAGACCAGGGTGCTCAAAGCCCCGTCCAACCTGGCTTTGAAACCTGCCAGGGAGGGGGCAGCCACAGCTTTTCTGGGCAACCTGGGCCAGGGTTTCACCACCCTCACGGTGAAGAATCAGACTGTGGCACTGAGATAGATGGAATCAAAGACAGCCTGGTAGCTTTACCAGTGTTATCTTTTATGGCAGTGACATGGTTAGCATCACACTTCTGAGAGTAATAAAAATCACGAAGTGAGCTAGAAATGGTGAATAAGTGAGCCAGAACCTACTGTTCCCACCGCAAACAAGGGGACGCGGGCAGCTGGTGACAGCCAAGCTTCCAGGCCCAACCCCTCGCGATGAGCACAAGGCAAGCAGAGCAACACTTACGAGGTTTTCTATGTCCGTCCGTGCCAACACATACGTCCGTACATTGCCATTCTGATGCAGAAGCATGTATAAAAGGAGAGTCGCCTGATCGGATTTCTGTTGCTCACACAAAGCTGTGTATAAGCTGTTAAAATTAATCTGGAAAGTGTGTGGATTTGAGGATGAGAAAGCAGTGCTATCTGTAATAAAAAAAAAAACAAAAAAAACAATCTTTAACAAATACGTTTACCATTTAACGATTTGCTAACTTCATAACAGACACCACGGTAAGGAGGAAACACAAATCACCCATCACTCTTCTCACCCATGGTCAGCAACCTTAACAGGGTCTCATGACACTACAGCTGTGCCAAAAGGCTGCAGTTGTCCTCCCACATGAAGGAGGACAAGACACCCATCGTTTTTTTTCACCAAGCTACTTTGTCCTTCCCAGTGGCTTCCACAGTTAGAAAATCCCAGGAGCCGCTGCAAGGAGGGGTGGGGCGTCTTCTCAGGAACCGACGCACCGATTCCCGTGCAAACAGAACTCCCAGGTTTAGTTCGCTGGCATCAGGGTGGAGTTCTCTCTTCTCCACTTCTCGGCATGACGGGCAGGTGCGCGTAGGTCAAGACTATCAGCATATTTTCAGCGAAATATAGGTGTTGCCAGGGCTTTGAAAGAAGTGTGTGTCGTGGAGAGTTTAGTGGGAGAAATAAAGTGATTTAAAACGCCGTGTCATACAGCCTAATATCACTCACAGCTTGTTCATGTTCACAGTACAATCCGTGCCAGAGCTGGAAGGGAGAATAAAACAGATTTCTGCTCGCAGAACCTTTTCACAAGAAGCTTTATCAGTTTTAACAAACATGTCCATCAGCACAGGGCTCTAACTTCTAGGAATTTCCAGTGGAAAAGGAAAAACCAAGCGTGACAGTTGATGAGCTCATACTGGTGTCAAAGCCAGATCCATGTCCTCATTCAGCCTCCAGACCTCCTCGAATCCATCATTCTGCCTTTGCTTCCTTCACAAAAAAAAAAAAAACAACCCTTCGAGAGGACAAGGTTTCGTCCCAGCGCAAAACAGGTACGTTTCTCAACTCTCAAAAAGCTTCACAGAAATTGGTATTAAATATTTTCCTCTGTTCGAAATCATCCAACCAAAACTTGCATCTTCTGTGACAATAGATGAAGTAGGACAAGCTCACCTTTTTAAGCTGAATTATTTCAGCATCCTGGCTACTGAATACAAAGGCTATCTTTTCCGAGCACACAAACAAGCGGAAAAATTACAGCAATCTCACGGCAAGGGGATATTCTGGGAACAGCAGCAATTTGGATACGCAAGTATACTAAAGGTCTGCACTTCAAAATTTCTGTATTACTATAACCAAGATGTCCAAAGTTGAAGAAGTTAACTCAAATTCCTTAGTTCCCACAATAACAGATTACAGCTTGCTAAAAAGATTATTTTTTTATTAAAAATGCATTAAGTTAGGAAAGCTCTACTGTATAAAACAGAGTGACAATATTGACGCTCGCAGTACTAACACTCATGGTGATCTGTGGACTGAAGGGATTTTAACGAGAGGAAAAAAAGACTTAGGAGAATAAACTAAAAAAAAACCACTGCAAATTTCAAAACCTGAATTTTTCAAGCCATTTTACAGCCAGCTGTATGGTGGTGGCCGGCATAATAGGCAGCAACTACTGCAATGCATCCAAATCTTCCTTTTTTCTTGAATCCCGAAAGATTTCTCAGATGTCATAGACTGCATCCCCATGGAAAATGGCGAGAACAGTAACACCACGCGCGTGCCCATGGGCAGCAACCATGAGCCAACACAAATTTGGCTCTAAAATGAGTACTACCATGGTTTCTTGCCAAACTTCTCCTCTCCTCTGGAGAAATCTCTATACTGGTAGGAACACAAAACCTACCTACACCCACCGAGGTGTGGGTGTCTCGCTTTCTCCTTTCTTTTTAGCCCATATTCTTTGCAAAATTCTAAATAGCTTTCAGCATGGAAGGATCTGGTAGTTGTCACTTTTTTTGAACAACGTTTCCATCCTCTTTGGAAGGAATGATTGCTTGGAAGCCCTGCAGGAGCCCCACCGAACGCCGCTGGAGGCCCTGGAGCAAACACTTCTCCTTTCTGTCGTGCACGCAGAGACGAGACGCAGCCCATCACCTCTCCCCACAACGATGTACCAACGGGTAGAGGAGAGACCAAAACCCGGCTTTTCTGAATTACCATTTCAGCCCCCACCCCCCTGCAATCACCAAGCGTGATCACAGAATCACAGAATGGTCGGGGTTGGAAGGGACCTCTTTGACTCACCCAGCCCGCCCCCGTGCCGAAGCAGGGTCACCCACAGCAGGCTGCACAGGACCTTGTCCAGGCGGGTCTTGAATATCTCCAGAGAAGGAGACTCCACAGCCTCCCTGGGCAGCCTGGGCCAGGGCTCCGTCACCCTCAGAGGGAAGAAGTTCTTCCTCATCTTCAGCTGGGACTTCCTCTGCTTCAGTTTGTGCCCGTTGCCCCTTGTCCTGTTGCTGGGCACCACTGGAAAGAGTCTGCCCCCGTCCTCCTGACACCCACCCTTAAGGCATTTATAAGATCCCCATCAGCATTTATAAAGTCCCCATATTATGGAAGTTCCCATTATTAAGGTCCCCAAATATTATGGACCAACTGGTTTAAAACCGTCCCGCTTCAGGTGAGTATTTCTCTTTACTGGGGAAAATTTGGGTACAGGCAGCAAAATCAGATCAATTCAACGTGTTCAATTACGCAGCAGCCTGATGCCACGGTTCATTAGCTGAGGAGCGTCCCTCGACTTCCAAGCTTCACTTCTGCAGTTGTTTCAACTGTGCCACTTCTATTTACAGCACTTCGCTATCTGTTTTATTAAAGGATATTTTAAAAAATTGTAAAAAAGATTCTAAACAGTATTAAAGAAACTCACCAAGCAACGGCAGCATATCATGGATTATTCTACAGAAAGTTAAACCAACCAAAAAATTAAGCTATTCTAGACCATGTAGAATAAAGAACACTATCCTGAATTTGGTTAGTTCTGCCCCAGTTAAATTAAATAAATTACTTCAACAAAAAGCCAGTTTTCATTTTATAGTCGCATACTACAGATCATTAGGACTGTAACCAGCCTTTCTTTTTCTTCTCATTTTCTTTTTAGCAGCCCCTCAGAATGTTCACAGGAATCAAGTTTAAGCTCAGTTATATAAATATCGCCAGTGGAAACCAGTTTACGGGAAACAATAAGTCATTCTATAAATGTACACATCTAGAGAAAATATGGCTTTTCATGCTACTTTTAACATAGAATAGGTTCTTTTAAAACTTTATGATACATGTATAACAGTTTTCAGTGAAACACATTACTACTTATTGATGACATTAAACAGAGTCAATCAAAAGAGAGCATTCATAAGGTCTCAGTTTAAAAAAAAAAAAAGAAAAACCAAAAAATCAACAGTATCCAATAAATCAAAGGGGGTGCTAGGACTAGGAATTCTTGAGAACAACCCTCCATCCTAATAACGAAAAAAAAATTCCCTAGCTAAAGGTGAATGAATTTAGAGCTTGACTCATTGAAGACTTCATGGTTAAAGGAGTATCAGAACTCCCCCCCAAATACAGTGAGTAACTCGGGGGTACTGGTGTGGCTTTGCAGCTGAGCGGTGCCGAGCAGCTCAGTGCGTGCAGTCAACCTGCACAAAGCCAACAAAAGGTCAAACTCAGTGGCTAAAACTTGAAGAGATTTAAGTGCATGGATAAAGTATATAGGAAAAGAAGCCCGGTGCGGGCAAGCTGAGCTATCCAGACAGTCCAAGCTGTGTTAGGGCGTTACTGTGTCCCAAGCAACACCCTCTGGAGCGGGGCGCTGAACAGACCATCGTGCCTGCAGGTACCTGATACACGGACTGGAACCAGCCTTTTCCGAAACCAGGCAAGCACCGAAACAAGCCTGAAGCTTTCCGTACGTACAAGTCTCATGGAAGTGTTTACATTAACCACCTTCTCCTTGCGTTCGCAATACAAGAATGCAGCCAGCAAATCAATTCAGTTTGCCCTTCAATCACTTCTCTCAGCGCTATGGGACACGACTCCAGCTAAACAGAATTCCCCAAGTGTTACAAAGTTTTAGGGGACTCCTGCAGACTCTTGGGTAACAGTTCATAATTATGAAATTATGAAGGTTTCTAAAATGTCTCCAGTCTGAAGGAAAGAGTATCCTTCTCCCTCCACCCCTTCAATTAAGTTCCTGCAGCTGACGAACTCCACCTCCAAACTCCCAGAAGAAAACATACTCAATTGCTCTTCCATGGGCTGGTCGGAGGGAAAAAATTTGGGAAGCAAACCTCTAAATAGCCTCAGCAATTTAACACTTCATTTTCATCAGTTCATACTCAGAAATAAGAACAGCTACCAACCTTGCGTGTTCCTGAAGGACATAATAGCTTGCCTGTAGGGATTCGGCGTATCCGGAGCATCGGTCAGATTAGCCAGGACGAGCAGCAGCAGCAGACTCTGGCTAGCGAGAGGAGAGCACGGCTCCAGCTGTGGCGTTGGTTTACTCCCCACCCCACCAAGCGTGAAGACTGTCCACAAGCCAGCTGAAGAGAAAAGGCAAAGCAAATGTTACGTGTGTTCGTATTTTAATGAAGAAAGCTCCTTCAGAGGAGAAGATCGCATCTGACACACACGTCAAGAGAAGAGGGAAAACCAGTTCAGCCCCGTACGATGAGATGACAGGTCTGGCTACTTGATGCCTCAAACTGAGGCACGGAGAGGTGAGAAATGAAAGATAACTGGAAATTCAAGAAAATTAAGTCATAGAAATATACACAAAGGCAATCAGGAGAGGTGAAATGAAAGCACACGTTCGAAGGGGAGAACCTTAACACAGAGCAGATACTAGCTGAAGGATTCATGTGGTAATCTTCGTAATGCATATATATTGAGAGGACAATGAGTTTGTGTATTGTCTTTAATAAAACCAGATTGGTCCACCATACAGCATTTTCCTCATGTATTCTAATTTTAATAAACTCAGCATATTTTAGGCAAAACACAGTAACAAAAACTAGTACTGCTTCAACTAGAACCCCCAGATTAAGAGTCCTGTAGAGACTATCACCATTGCTCATTATTGCAGTTAGACAACATAATAACAAATAATAAACTTCTTGGGGAAAAAAGACAGGATCATCAGCAATTTAAATTCAAAGGTATTATTAAAGTCAGCCTCATATTTTTGCATTGCTACAGAAGATGAAGCAACTTGAAAAGGCACACCAGCTGGAAGAACCCACACTGCTCTGAATCTCCTTTTTAAGAGCTTGCATATACGATGTAACAGTATGGAAGTACAAACTGTTCACCATAATTTGAAGTTAAAAATTTAGTTACAAAGAAATAAAATTTGAAACAACAAACCACTGTTGATACTGTTCAAAAAACCCAGTCAGACTGGTTGATACCTCTTGGGAAAGCAAGTTTCCGTTGTCTCACAACTGCCTTGAAGATACACACGCAACAAAGCACCAAAACTTCATTCACTTGAGACCAGCAAAAATTTATTAGGCACAAAAAAATGTAAATAGCTCATCATTCCACACCAACTCTCAGTTCATTGCTTGGGAACTACAATAAGAAAGCACATTAGAATACCCTCCCCTCTATCGAGGTGTATATACGTGGTGTGTATACAGCTCCAGGATTAAGGCTCCACCTGAAGGTTGCTTATTAAAATTCTCATTATCCTACTCTTTAAACTTTGAGGTTTGAGCCTGAAACACAGAGTCATTTTCATACATAATCCTTACAGCATTAAAAAAAAAAAAATATTTCCAATACTATACTACTGCATTTCAAATTCCTGTTCCTAATTACAATGGTGGTGGTGAACCAAGTCAACCAGCTACATGCCCAAATACCAATTAACAGAAGACTGGAAGGGCAAAGGGGTAGCAGGGGGGGATTAGGGGACTCCCCTCAGCCCTCATAAATCTTTATTTCCTTGCCAGCATTTGGGAGACTATTACACCAGGGCGGGAGAAGAAAAGCACCAAAAGCTGAAGCAGAGATGCTACAGACTCAGTTTTATTGTGTCCTGGTGGATGACAAGTTGACCATGAGCCAGCAGTGTGCCCTCGTTGCCAAGAAGGCCAATGGGATCCTGGGGTGCATAAAGAGGAGTGTGGCCAGCAGGTCAAGGGAGGTTCTCCTCCCCCTCTACTCTGCCCTAGTGAGGCCCCATCTGGAGTCCTGTGTCCAGTTCTGGGCTCCCCAGTTCAAGAAAGATGAGGAGCTACTGGAGAGAGTCCAGTGGAGGGCTGCGAGGATGATGAGGGGACTGGAGCATCTCTCCTACGAGGAAAGGCTGAGGGAGCTGCGCTTGTTCAGCCTGGAGAAGAGAAGGCTGAGAGGGGACCTTCTAAATGCCCATAAATATCTGCAGGGTGGGTGTCAGGAAGACGGGGCCAGACTCTCTTCTCAGTGGTGCCCAGCGACAATACAAGGGGCAACGGGCACAAACTGAAGCAGAGGAAGTTCCATCTGAAGATAAGGAAGAACTTCTTCCCTCTGAGGGTGACGGAGCCCTGGCCCAGGCTGCCCAGGGAGGCTGTGGAGTCTCCTTCTCTGGAGATATTCCAGCCCTGCCTGGACGCGGTCCTGTGCAGCCTGCTGTGGGTGACCCTGCTTCGGCAGGGGGTTGGACTGGGTGACCCACAGAGGTCCCTTCCAAGCCCTGGCATTCTGTGACTCTGTGATTACTGCAGAAAAAGTCAGGGCAAAGCATAAAACATGTCCCCCCTGCCATCGCTATGGTGGCACATGGCAACTTGAGAGTAATAGCCTCTACCGTTATCACATCTGGGCTCCTGATACGCTCCCAGGCGATAAGAAGCAGCCCTTCCCAATCCCACTGGATTATATTCGTCCCCAAATGCCTGCTTAGCACTTCATTTATCTCTTGAAATTTTATGGCAGAGATTAAGCATTCCATCAAAATATTCATTTAATAGGTCAAAGTCTTGAATTATACAGCACAAAAATACGAAATAATCTCCACTTTAAAAAGAACGCCCATAATCTTAAATTTTTTTGTTAACGCCTAAATTAAGAATTAATTATAACACGCTTTTTAAAAGAAGACGGAAAATTTAAGACAGCTTAGTTTTCAACCTTCTGCTCTGCGAGATTCAGGGTGCGAAGGATAAAAACCTGTAAGCTACTTGAATGCAAAACACAAGCACAGTATAAACAATTTGAAGAATGTAAAGTCCTCTCAGCCCCACAGAATTTCAAGCCAGCCCAAGTGTATTTTTCTACAAAATGTAATTATACAGTCAGATTCTGTAATAAACGAGCGCTTTCTTCATCAACACAATCGCGAGGCAATTACTGCCATGTCAAGGGCAAGGGAACTAATGCCATTCAGTGTTAAGCAGCTTGAAGGAGATCTTATAATAAAAAGCACTATAATTACAGCCGTCTTAGCAAAAATTTCACACTACATTAATAATCCTTTATCATCGTGGTTTTGATCCACAGTCCTTAAATCAGAACGAAGCTGAATAAAAATGCTGACGATGACATCAGCTTTTAAACTTACGTGAGTTATTCAGACAGGTAACATGCAAATAAATTCATTTTAAAAAATCAAAATATTTGTTAAACGTATTCAAATTCGGCACATTTCCTCTCTTAAAGTTTAGTGCAGTCATCAGCTAAGTCAGCATTTTTCATTTTCCACCACCCCACCCTTCTGCAGCTGGCATCTGCCATTACTACACCTTTCCTCAATGGTTAGGAAAAGAGGGATATGGCCAAAATACTGCTGAATAATTTGAATCTTCCACCAGGGAGAATGAGGTAATTACGTCAAGGAGAAATCTGTACATCAGACCCATGCAACCTCCTCAATTTGTGTCTCTTGTTGGCAATTGGATTCCTCCAGAAAAGCACTCCCATGGGAATGGGTTCGTAATACTCCTCGTAGTTCCAAAATGCAAAGTCAAATTAGCTGCTAGGCACTGGTTGGTGCTCCCGGCATACTCGAGAGGCGTTTCTAAGGAAAATACTGTTTCTGATCATTGACAGCAGATTGAAGTACTAAATAGATAAAGAGCTTAGCAGTATGGAAAGGTAAGTAGTCAGTGTTTCTAGCTGTATTTCTGTAAGTTTGCAAGATTTGAAATAGTGTTTTGCTACACCTGGGTTTACACTTACATAAATTTCCAAATTATTAAGCTATATTTAAGTTATTTAGCAAATGAAACAAAACTAGAGTACTCACAGAATCACAGAATGCCAGGGCTTGGAAGGGACCTCTGTGGGTCACCCAGTCCGACCCCCTGCCAAAGAAGGGTCACCCAGAGCAGGCTGCACAGCACCGCGTCCAGGTGGGGCTTGAACATCTCCAGAGAAGGAGACTCCACAGCCTCCCTGGGCAGCCTGGGCCAGGGCTCCGTCACCCTCAGGCTGAACAAGCCCAGCTCCCTCAGCCTCTCCTCGTAGGAGAGATGCTCCAGTCCCCTCACCACCCTCGTAGCCCTCCGCTGGACTCTCTCCAGTAGCTCCTCATCTTCCTTGAACTGGAGAGCCCAGCACTGGACACAGGACTCCAGATGGGGCCTCACTAGGGCAGAGTAGAGGGGAAGGAGAACCTCCCTCAACCTGCTGCCCACACTCCTCTTGATGCACCCCAGGATCCCATTGGCCTTCTTGGCAGCCAGAGCACACTGCTGCCTCATGGTCAACCTGTTGTCCCCCAGCACATCCAGGTCCCTCTCCACAGAGCTGCTCTCCAGCAGGTCAGCCCCAGCCTGTACTGGTGCATGGGGTTGTTCCTCCCCAGGTGCAGGACCCTGCACTTGCCCTTGTTTAACTTCGTCAGGTTCCTCTTTGCCCAGCTCTCCAGCCTGTTCAGTAATGCTGCAAACCCTTAGAAGCTCCCTTCACCATCTTGTTTTCAGCTCTAAAGTTACAGTTAACAGAAAACTAAACGTATGATGAATAAATGCTGATGCAGAAATAGTGTTCGGAATCACATTTCAGCTTCTGCTTCATAGGAACATCACAGAAAAAATAGAACAAAAGGAAGAAAATCCCACATTTAAAATTCCAGTGTAAGCCAACAGCATAGCATAGGTGGCTGTACCTGTACTAGTGCTGCCTGGCATCATTAAAAGCATGAAATAAAACTTGCCTAGACACTTTAATATATAGCACTTGGATTTCTTTCACATTTAAACCTCACTTGATGTTTCCTTCGCTCCTATTCTCCTGTCATTTTAGCACATATCCCAAGGGAAATGCAAATTACAGATGTTTTCTTAAAGCTTTTTATATCTCTGGGCAGCAGCAAAGCTGTGCCACAGTTCTCAACCCGAAACAACAGAGCTGTGAAAAGGATGAGGGGGGCGGATTGCCTGCAATAGCATCCTGACCCAAAGTGCTTCTGAAGCTCCATAAGCTCTCCAAAAAAGCTCCACATTACCAAACGCTACCTTCCTGCTGCTAATTATAAGCCTGATGGAGTTAATAATCCTTAATCCTAAAACACTCTTAGACGTTTATGTATTTGGATCACTTACTTCAGCTATAC